TGTATGGCGGGATGAACCCTTGCGTGCGGTCGAAGGAGGAGGGCGTCAGGGTGGTTTGGGTTTGGGAGAGATGGTCTGGCGAAGGTGGGGGTGTAGGGGATGTGAGATTATTTTCCTGGTTTTGCTGGTTTGGACACCGATTTTTTTTGTGCGATTTTTGTGTGCGGGAGTCGTGCGATGGGCCCCGTGGATCTAGCGCGAGGGGTGAGGTCAAACCATCACGACAAGGACCATGACAGACAGATCCCCATTTAATAGTAGAGACATGAAGATGCATAAATAGTAAAAACTGCATACCACAACGATGCCATGAAATAAGAGAAGGAACTAAAGTGAATGAGAACAAGAAACTCAACAACAAATGGCAACACAAAGTCTTGCAGTTTATCGACTTCTTTGACAGACGCTATATAATACCATCCAGCAGTCTCATAATTACCCTGAATTGAATTAAATTATCAAAAACACATCACATGTTCAGGGTTGTAAACAAGACTCTCAACAAGGAAATCCAAAGTGTCGGCACAGAGAATTAGTGAAATAATACCCAACTAATTCAATGGGTATATGAATGGGGCGCATCACCTTACAATGGTATGATCCAGCCAAGTTATAGTAGGCTTGTGATTTCAGTAGTCCATGACTGCTTGAAGAGAGAACAGTCTCACTCAGTTGCTCAACCACAAAATGCTGGCCAGTAAAGAAATACTGGTTGGCAAGGTGGTTGAGTGCCAAAGTGCAATAAGGATAAATTTCTAAGGCTCTACTCATTTTATCCATTCCTCTGCGGATTTCACCAACTATGGCAAAGTTGCAGATTTTAGAAAATAATCAGAAAAAGGGTGAGAAGAAAATTTCTTTTGCAACTCCATGATCGCAAGTGCTACTAGCGCAAAGTTTTCAGGGTCCAACTGTGAAGTAATTGTACGTGAATAAAGACATGAATTCATCTTAAGAGACAATTCTTCTACATGAAACAAGAGACAGAAAAAGAACTAGCCTGTAAGACTTGTTGAAAAGCTTGTGAAGCCCTGTCTAGCTGACCAAGTTTGTATCGACAAAAAGCTATACCAAGCCTTACAGCAGCAGGACAATCTGCATAGCCCCGTAGGGCTCTCTAGAAAGATGATTGAAATTTATAGCATATTACTGCAAAATATCATGGAACTGTCAAAAAGGAATTGAGCTGTCTTCAAATTTATAGCATGTTCCAAAGTAGTTAACCTTTTCCCAATCCACATAGACGGTTCAGTTTCATCTATCCTCGACGCCCTATTGTAGTACTGAGTCGCATCTTTGAAATGTACTTACTTTTGTGGCGGTCTCTCAGCCTTTCCCAGAAAAGGATGAGAAGCATCCAAAGCATTAAGGATGGCTATCCGCTCATATTTCACATCAGCATATTAATCATCGATTCCTGCAGAGATGAGGAAATAGTTCAACAACAGCCGGTTTATACTTATATATATAAAAATAGAAACAATGAGAAAGAGCTACTCCCTCCGTTCCTAAATGTAAGTATTTTTAGAGATTTCACTACAGACTACATACGGAGCAAAATGAGTGAATCAACACTCTAAATATATCTATATACATCCGTATGTAGTTTGCAGTGGAATCTATGTTTCTAAGGCGTCTGTAAGGCGACGCCTAGG